AAGGACACATGAGACAAACCATTAGGCACAATTTTCGATTCCCCCTCCATTCTTCTGGCCCCGTCCCCACTCTCCCAGCCTGAAGTACTTCAGTCTCCAGCGGAGTGCTGTTGTGACATCGCTCATATAAAATCATGTCATCTCATCTTCATTCAGTGTCCCAGGTTAATGTATAGTAAAAGGACTGAAAGCGTGCCACCCTTTCAATCCCCTCAGTCAATACCAGTGCTTTCAGCTAACATGCCTCATCATCTCCCATAAAAACTGCTGTGTCAAAGGTATAAAGAGGGCATCTGTGCTATTTCCAGCATCCTGCCCTTTATAATAAACCTTGTGTGAGAATTGAAAATTAGGGCAATTGCACCACTTCTGATGATTCATCATGATAAACCACATCATGTTAATTTATTGGGACCGATGTAAGATCTGAGCTGAATGAGTCAAGCTCTTCATGCATAAAAAGATCCCTGCAAGATGTTATTCACTGTGTACAGTACATCATGCTCATGATGTAAATGTAGACATCCTGTTAAGCAATTTAGCAGCAATGAGAATCACAATTGCCTATTCACCGTTTCCCAGGTTTCCCAGGCTCCGTCTTTCGTCTCCGGCCTCACTTGCTCACAAAAGCAGCCTAACCTGATCCACCTAACTAAAAGCAGCTGGCCGCAGTGGCTACCTGGAAGTCTGCTTAGCTTTACCTAGCACTCAGTAATTACATGGCCATTAGGGCACCTCCCAGCACCAAACCACACAGAGGGCTAAATTCAAAAGCTGTCAGTGATTAATTACCAGTTGCCCACTGAGTTGTGGATATCTGAGGGGATTGGCACAACTGTAATTGTATCAGGCCACTGGGATTACACACTTCGTGAGGCGGAAAGGGGGAGAGTAACCCAGCTTGGCCACAAGGAGTTGAAAAGGAGTGATTAGTTGAGAATTTTGTGGGCTGTGTGTTTGTGTAGTTTTGCCTCTACTGAAGTGAATCAAATCTGGACTTGACAAAGCAAGCCAAACAGATATTGCTGCATGCCCCTTTGCCCTTCGGGAGGGAAAAATAAAGTCCCGCAAGTTGTTCTGTTTTCTCGCGAGCCCTTTGGCCAGTGTTTAGCTTCCAGGTTTTTTTAACTTTAAGAAATGCTGCAGAGTGGGGAAAAGGGGATGTGGGGGGGGGGGGGGGCACCAGTGCTTGCTGACTGCACATTTTATTATAGTCCCATTAAACAACAGGCCCTGCTAGGAATGCAGATCCCAGGGGAGGAGCAGGTACACAAAAAAAATGAAAAAGAAAACTGCCCGCCAATGCTGAAACAATTATTAGAAGGAGACTCGTTTCACGGTGTGGTATACTGAGTGGGTGTGACTTCAAACCAACTTGGTTAGACAGGTTTGCTTTTCCCCCTAGACCCAATACTATTTTCAGCAAATGTGTGGTGTAAAAACTGATTTTCAAACTCAGGGTGCAGACCAGAGAAACAAACTAGGGTTAAACCCACAATGAGGACAAATAGGTCAAATGTACAGCAGCTTATTACGACCCATTTTTACGTTTATTGTTTATTGTCTGGTGGCCACATGACAGTTTCAAAGGAGGAAGTCAGGTGACAAAAGAGTGACAAAAAAAGTGACAAAGTCCCGTTAAGGAGATGGGTGGGGTGGATGGGTCAAGTACATTCAGGACTTGCATTCAGGAAACTGGGGTTCAAGCCCCGTGTGACAGAAGTTGACTTATTTTAAGTTAAATAACGTTTCGTAGGGAGTTAAGTCATGTGACATAATGTATTTATTTTAACCCAAACCAGGATCTTTTCCTAACCTGACCAAGAAGTTTTGTTTCCTAAACCTCACCAAATTACAACTGTTTCACAACGTTTACAACGTGTTTAACATCATGTGACTTATGTAACATACTTCTGGTCTGGTACGCCTGTCGCTGGACTGGTACCTTCCAATGCTTGTACATGTTGTTTTGGGGAACAGTAATATAGGTCATTGTACTTATATAACAGTCATATACTGTATGTTGTTTTGGGATAATTGACAATCGATCTATTTTGTTGTTTAGGTATGAGGAAGTGTTGCAGAATGACAGTGAGCTTTGCTCTGCTAAAACGCTCACAATGCAAATTCTTACATGCTAATGTTTACCATCATAGTTTAGTGTGTTAGCATGCTAACATTTTACAATAGGCCTGAACACAAAGTACAGCTGACAGTGACGCAAAGTATATAAGTTTTGTAAATAGTCATAAACTAAATTATTAGACAAACTGAAATTTTGGCAATTCATCTAATCCATCTAGATATTTCCAGTATGAATTTCATCTAATCCATCTAGATATTTCAGTATGAATTAAAGTTGATGACCACACACCAATTTTGCCATTCCGAGAGCCACACCGCTAATGTGGCTAGGTTCAGACACTATCACAGCTAAAGTGTGAAAATGCTTTTAGTCACTCTGAAGCTAATAACTGAGTGCTACACGACAGCGACACCAGATACTGTTAGAATGACAAATGGCACCATAAAAAAAAATAACTTCACCTTCATTAACCAAGAATCACATCGGCATGAATAAAATATACGTGAAGTTCATGACAGACTTTCTTTGATAAAAGATAGCAAACTTCCTCTGATTCAGAAGCAACCCATAAAATATCCTCAAGCTATGGACCATTGCTCTGTCTTTGCAACTACTCCATCTTCTTTGACAGAAAGAAAGTGAAGACTGTGAAAAGCACATTACGGTCCTCCCCTCAAAGAGAGAAAAAAGCCACATCTGAGCCAGGGGCTGTCTCCTAGACATAAGAGAGGATAAATATTGAGCAAACCCATTCAGCATGCGTACGGTATAAAGATATTTGGCCCAATATAATATAAAAAACCCACTCCCAGGCATTGACAAACTATGGTATTAGTTGCATGTGTAACAAACATTAACTAACTATTAAATACACTATAGACTCTTCAAAGTATAAGGATGATATATGTGTTTTGTATTTAACCGTAATTCAAAAAACTATTGGATTACTGAAGTACTGGACATGAAAAAAAAATCAAATTTGAGAGTGCCAGTGCCGCCTTGGTTATAGCGTTGTTGCGCTTCATTTGATGTGAAATGTTTTCATTGTTTTGTTTCTGCCCTTTGCAGAAATGTGGTGGAAGAAAATAAATGGCAGACATATGATATGGATTGAGAACAGAGAGAAGCATGATTGTGAGAGTCTCATTATGGTTAATACTTCCAGTACTTCTGGCTTAGTAATTCAGGCATTCCCACTCAGATGAGTCATTCACAATTGATAAACCACTTGTGAAAACTAAGACATTTGGGTCATTTAGGTTTATTAATCTCACCTGTCTTGGTTCTTCTTTCACCTATGTCTGATTATGATGGATGTAATACTCCTGGTAGGGGGTGGGGGGGATTTTTTTGATATCCCCCAACAGAGAGGTCAGAAGTCAGGGACAACAGCAGAACAGTCCCTGGCATTCGTAAGGTTCCCGCATCGTGTCCAAGGACACTTCATTCCTGCAGCACAGATGCTTTCTGACGCCTGGATTGTCCATCCAAAGATCCAGCCACAAGGCTAGCCTGCACAATGTCACAACTATGACCTTTGCAGAGAGGTCACCGACAGTATATGTTCACACTTACTTACTGTATCACATTGCCAGATGGAGTTGCCTGAGGCTGTGATGCGCACAGATCCCTCTTCATCAAACTTTAAAAAGTTTTAATAACATGTCTGTTTTCTGCAGCAGGTAGTTTAGTGGTTCAGCAGTGCAGTCACACAGACAGCCTTCTGCCAGACACACTGAGAGCGCCTGGTATTGTTACTACCATGTACCATTAACGTGTTGTTTACAAAGGCAAGATATTACTCCCCATTCTGATTTGAAGCACTCCTTTTATCTACACTGAGATAGATAAAGATAAGTTGACAGTAAATATTCATGTCTGGTGGAATCTTAAAGAAATTCACATATCCTCGCTGTTCTATGAAAACCATGTATCTCCAAAATGTCAAACCTTTTATGAGCTAAGAAAAACTTTCTTGTTGTCAACTTCGGTTGATCCAATGGGTTTTTAAATGGTTCATTTAGCTTAAGATGGAGGGCCAAAAAAAAACATGTGGTTTTCATTTTGACAGAGATGATATGCCATGCCTACTCCAGAATGAAAAAGAAAATCATCCTTTAAGATATAAATCGAGATTCAGTCACTTAAATGTGTTATGTTCACCACTCTTAGTTGATGTAACAACAGGGAGAAAACATTCAAATCTTAAACTGCACAGTCATCTCAATTGTACATTAGAATTGGATACTTGCTAATGTGGTGGCAATTTGTATATATATTAACATTTCGTTTTACCCCCCACATAATTCTTACTGGAGCTGTCAATCACACATTCAGGAGCAACATTGATATCTGACAATGATGCAAAATAGTAAATGGTATCATTTAAAAGTTAAAAAATAAAATTGTAACAGTCATGCTCAAATTGTGCAGCAGCCCCCTTCAACATCCTACAGCAGCATCTCCCAACACTGATGCACTTACTTCACCAAACCCTGACTCCATCCCAAAATGATCAGAATGCTGAAGGAATGAATGTTTCCATCTACTGGTGGGAAATGTGAATTTCAAGAAGCTTGTTTTATTTTGTGAGTGAGCAGGCAACATCACAAGCCAAACAACATCTCAGCGCCTCTATGTATAGACCGCTGTTAAATACCTTTCTTTCTGTTAAAGGGCCAGTCAGCTGTCTGCATCCTTCACAGCAGGACCTCCCCAAACCATCAACACTACTATCCAGGCAAACTGTCATGTGCAAACGGTTTCAATGAAATAAACTAAAAGGCCGGGTTACGAAAGCTTCCATCTATTCCTGTATCAACGGTGGTCTTATTCAAACAGGCTTCAAATCCAGTGTCACACCGACAGACACCCACATGTCCAGAGTGCACTGGAGAAAGTACTTTTCATTTACCTGGCGGGCAGTTGCATTCAGGTGACGCTTCTCTTGCAGTGCGAATCTTGACAAAATGTTCGTAGGAGCGCTGAAATTTTAAAAGAATTCCATTTACATTAATTTGCACATGATGCTTTCAATAAAATCAAAGTATTGGGTGAAGGGTATCTGTTCAGCTGTTACTGAAATATGGTCCCCTTCATGGGCAATTAAGCAGGTAAAAACAATTAACTTAAGGGGGAGCAAGTGCAAAAGTCAATCTTACCTGAGAGAGCAGCTCATCCACTCTTTGTTCAATCAGTGAATTAAAATCATCCATGGAGTAGCCAGGGGCACGGATAAAGGTGTGCTCGCCGTTCCCACTCTCCAAATCCACAACCCGGTTCTTAATATCAGCCGTGTTCATGCTCAGAAAAATACAAAAGGCGATGGACGCCACTGAACATACAGACGAGATTATGTTCAGCACTGTTGTGCGCCAATACTGTCGCTTCCGAGGAGCCGCTTCTTTCTCCATTTTCTCCAAGCACTTGGATGCTCCTCTTGCCTCCGCGATCTCCATTTAACTACAACTACACGCGCTGTTGGAAGCAAACTGCATCTGGCGCCGAGTCACGAATTTATGGCACACTGTTCTGAGTGAGTGAGTGAGTGAGTGCGTGTGAGACGCGGCGTTCACGTACAGTGACTTTGTGGTGACAGCGACAGACAGTTCCGCTCCAGCCAAATCAAGTCAACCTGTCTGACGGCGTGTTCTGGCTCCTGCAAACTTGTTGCACCGAGCCTTGCACAGTAGTCTACTGCAGAGGAAATTGCTATTACGCACAATAAAGTAGAAAGAGAGGCTGGGGAAATAGAAGGCAGCGCGCATGTAGCGGAGACAGCCTTACCACTCGGAGCTTTTCCACCACGGTGCAGGCATGCTCCCCCTCATTACGACAGCAACACGCCTCCAATCTGTCCCGACTGATTAACATAATTTATTGACCTGCTCCTTTTGAGCTCTTACAGCCGAGCTGTTGACATGATGTGCAGTTAGGCTGTATTGTACTCCTGTCATATCTCCAGTTATAGAACAACGGGGCGCTGCGTAAAGAGGCAGTTAGATGCGTTTTATGAAAGTGTGGTTCACTGTATGAGCACTAGCAAGATGGCAAACACTTTTAAGATAATAGATCAGCATGGAATTGTCGTGTTGTATGAGGAAGAATTAAAATTTCTGCAGCCACTGTAGGGCAACTTTAACAGGTTGGTTTTGGCCATGGCGCTGCGTAAAAACGCACGAAAATCTTAAAAGATCTCTTTCTTTTTGGGTGGATGGACGCACTCACTAAAATTGATTAATTGTGTTCAGTAGACATCATGAGATGAGAGCCAAAGCAGCGCTCAAACAGAGATGCTGGCGTTCAGCGACCCCACAGTCTGTGGCCCTCCTTTGATGCCTTGTATTCTGAAATTAGTTCATATCTACTTCGTGGGTTTGGTTAGCGCAGCAGCAGACAATGCGCACAAGCAACAGTATCACATGATAATGGCAAAAAAAATAAAAGGGCATGGGGATAAAACTCGTCTTTACAGCTGGTCATTCTGACAAAGTGACGCAGGGTTCCGATCTAAAACACTGACACTGAGAAATGCAGAATGGAAAATTAGTCTAACCAGTTTTGCATAAATTCTAACCCACATTAATGAATGAACAGCGTGTCTGAATGGTGGCACAATGATAATCTAATGTACTAGGCTTTCGGCAAAACCGTCTGGTTTACACAAGCATCAATACAAGTGTTTCTGTTAATGCACAGAGGCTGGAGGCTGGGATTTGAAATGAATGTGCAGACTCTTAATCTGAGCTAGAGTTAAGCACCATCAACATCTATCCCTCTGCTCTGTTCACCCGTTTCAAGGTGCCAACATGTATTTGGAGTGATTCTGGTGACACTGAATAGAGAAGTACTTTTTCATACGCAGTCAGAAATCTTTAATGGGGAAAGACTTCAAATATCCATAAACCTCCCCAGACTTCTGGCTTCTTATCCCGATCTTCCTCTTTCCAGCCCTGTTTGCATTTTAATGCTTCTCTTTGAAAATATCATCTTCACTCCAAATCACTGAGAAAATAATCGGTATGCACAAGCACAACTGCACAGAGGTTTGAGTTATCCATGCGGATCTGACTTGCCATTTATCAGGGCAGTTTTTGCCGCTTTTGTGCTCCCCAAAATGTTTTCTACAATGATTTGATTTATGAATAAGTTAGTAACAGTAGGCTACTTTCATTAAATCCATGCCTGCCCCTCTCACATGGGTCGAGTCCATTATGCTAATGGTTATTATAAAAACAGACATTATAATATCTCTGGCATGTCATTTGGAACAAAATCAAACTAACAGTACTGGGAAATTTGCTTTCCAGGTGAAGAGATGTTAAATGCCACATCCAGTGGAGGAAAATGTCCGCAAAAGTACACACTTGGACTGCCTCTTCAGGTTGCTTGATTGACATCTCCCTCACTCACCTGTTAGGGTCCCAACTTCAACATGAGCAGAGGTCTAATGAGCCAGAATAACTGAAAACACGTTTGTGAGTGCAGAGCCTTTGTTAAAAACGACAGATGGGCAGTATGTCCAGTTTCACTATGTAAACTGTAGAAACTTCACCCAATGCAGGTACTAATGTGTATTTGACTTACAGGTACTTTGAACACAACCACTCGACTCTACAATTCGTTCCTTCCTTTTTGTAAAACCAGACACAGCCAGATATCACGGTGAACAATAGGCTATGAATCCCAAACTACAGATTATCAAGAGTTGGTTATTTTTTGTCTTCTTTTTATGACTCTGCTGATCGATGCTGAATTATTCTGTGAGTCTCCAATTGTCATTTATTTCTCTTGCATTTATATGTATTTTGCTAAATCATGTTTTATTTCTGTTCTGGTTTAATGCAGTTGTAGCCTATAGTTTATGTGCAAATTAAAAAAAAATTAATTTACAGCCATAAAGTTATAGTCTGATCTGACGCCAGATTTCAACAGATGCTGTTTAAAACACTGTCTTTTCTCTACTACAAATCAAACACTTCATTTAAATGTAACGTTAGGTGCAAATAAGAGACCCAAAAGTAAAATTGTGGACCCAATGGACTCTCTGTAGCCTACTTTTTTAAGCTTTGGACGCCATCTAGTGGACAAACAGCGCAGCGACCGTGCTCATGTGGATTCAAAAATCCATAATTCAACATTTGTGCGTGGCAAAAATCCCCATGACAACATCCGTTGGCGGAATGGGCACTTCACAGGGTCACAATTTTTTTTAGTCCCCGGTGTGTGTTGTGCGCATGCGCCCTCCCTCCATGCTTTTGGACATGATCACAAAGTGACAGATGGAGTCCTGCGACCAAGTCACGTTGCAAAACGCACAACCCGACTGCACCTTTATCTTCAGCATATTTATAAAAAAACAAAAAAACAAAACGGAACAAGCAACATCTTGCACAGATTGAGAACTGCCATTTCATTTTCAAGGGGCCCATACACTGATGGCCCACTTGGTATCTTTTTCAAAAGTGGCTCCTCCACCTTCTGTCACTTTACTACCGGTTTGGAATCCTCTTTACGCTCCAAATAAAAAGCGCATCATCACGCGCTCTCTCCTTGACAACCGCATAAGAGAGCAATCCACCGGTGTTTATTTTTAGAAGCTCCCGGCCGCTGCGTGCTGCTCTCCTTCAACGCACTCTCCCATGTTGCTCCGGTCAATAATTCATACGCTGTAGGCCTGCAGCGAAGAGTCACAGAGCAGGCTGCAACAGCTCCGAGCCACAGGACGCAAAGAAAGCGCGCGGGGTGCGTACCGCCGCACGAGCGATGCCGCCCAAAACTGATGAGCTTAAGTGCCGCTACCATGCCCCACGTACGAGGTGAGGTCATCTATTTCTGATGGTTTCTTTACGAGACACCAATTTGGTTGGGCTTTTTAAAAAAATGTTAGAAAACACAATATTAGCCGGTGACCTACTTGTGTATTTTCAAATTTTACATTTTCAACAGAATTATATGACCTGTAGGGTCATAGGGTCATATAATTTTTGTGCAAACAAAACTAGGTTGCAAAGCTCTGCCATTATGTAGCCCTAACGATATATATGCTACTTGATTATCATTGTAAAAGATGAGAAAAGACTGATTACGTTTTAGTTATTTATCTTGTTTAATTTTAGTCATTATGTATTTGAGCCCATGTATTGCCTTGCATTTAATACCTTGTCTGAATGCCTTTGTATGTCTTATGAAGGTTAAACCACAGTTGCCTTGTTGTTGAACGTGTTATAAACTCGCCCTGCCTTGATGTCCAGGAAGCTCCCTGACTCTCACAAAGCCCAGCCACGGGCCATGACCACAGAGTACCAGGAGAGGTTCCTCCCCCCACGCTGCTACACAGCTATCATCTCGACCTCAATGCAGAGAGACCCTTACCATTCACTGAAGGGGATGAGTGCCGATATGAGCACATACACAAGGTAGGATATAAAGTGTTGGTCTTATCTCACTGGACACAGAGTCTGCCTTTATTTAAACTGTGAAGACTTGCTCTCACCTCTGAGGACTGATGTTTCTGTTGGGTAAGGCAGAATGATGCATGTGTCTCTCCACCTGGAAGCTCCAATAGTCCATGATGTAGTGCAACTAGCACTCTACCCACCTGAACCTTACTGGAATATTTACAGTTTCTACGTGTGTTTCAGATCATACTATGTGGACAAATGGATGAAGACTCCACCAAAGGCGTCACAGCCACCTAAAGACAACCAGAAATGCACCAGCGCTCCACACAATCCTGTGCGCGCTAGAGCGAACCAGATGGAATCCAAGGAAGAGGACTACATTTCAGTGTACAAACGTAAGCAATTTCAAGATCATACATCGCAAGAAATTTAAAAGCAACACACTACCGTTCAAATCTTTGGAATCGCCTGCCACAAAAGCTTGATTCTGTAAAGGTGTGTTCAGAAATAGATATTAAAGTAATGCTTTAATAATCAATTATTAAAGGAAAAGATGAACATCAATTTAACAGGTGGCAAACTGTTTACATTCTGATCCAAATCCACTTTCTGTGTCTCCTATTTTTTTCCCAGATGACTTCAGAACATGGAAAGTTAACATGCGCCGGCCATATAAGCTGCATGACGGCTTGAAGGTGAACCAAGGATTAGTTGTCACAAACAGTGAGGGTTGCTTCCAGAAAAAATCCGTCCAAGTTGAAGTTAACTCTAAACCAGTCCCACAGGAGCGAGAACCTCAACATTTTGAAAGCATCACCAGCTACAGGTCTGATTACGTCACCCATCCGCTGCAGCCCAGGACAGGCCGGGAGAAGCCAGTGTACCGAACCAACAAACGTCTGCCATTAGAGCATGGAACTCCCTCGGGACCAAACGTGGCTTGGGACATAAACCACAAAGTTTTTGACAAAGCCAGTGAATTCTTTGAGCAATTCAAGACCCGGTCCCTTGAAACCAACTTCCACGGCCAAGGCGAAGCCAAAGAATCCAGTCCACAAGCAGAGCACAGTGAGTTCCTCTCCACAACACATGCGGACTACAAGGCACACAAGTGCCAGCGCACCAAACCAGTCCTGCCACCTATGCATTCCATTAAGAAAAGCATGAAGCCCTTTCAGGGAACGACTACCATGAAGGAGGATTACAAAGCGTGGGACACACCGCAACGCACCCCCATAGTCCACAAAGAAGAGCTAGACTGGCCCATGAAAACCACCTTTTCAGTGTGCATACCCAAGCCTGCTGAGCACTGCAAAACAAACCCAAAGCCTTTTAATTACAGCTGCAATGCCACACAGAAACCCCAACGTCCTGTTGAGAATGGCACATTTTCCAGCTTTACATGCATCTCCACTGGGACTGAAGAATCCAGGAGATACTGGACCACCTCTTTGGACAGA